AATCATGCTATATATACTTTTTTATGATTTGCTTTTTTTACTTGGTACAGTCCTTTTTGGGTTAGGGTATAGAGATACGCGCAGTTCTTTGAATGGATTTATATTCTTCTGTTATATCATAATTTTCTTATCCATTCCCCTGTTGGTGAACACTTAAGTTGCATTAAACATCCTTTAAGCATTTATCTTTGCCCATTTGAACAAATGTTTCTGTAGGATAAATTTTAAGAAGTAGAACTTCTAGATCAAACATATGACCGTTTATATTTTAATGGATATTTTGGGGCTCTACATAATGTTATATCGATGTCCTGATTTTTATAGGAAATAAAGTTAGTTTTAAACTTTCAGAAGTTTTAACGAGGTGATGTGTCACCATTGATGTATACCAGTTTTTCTAATATTAGGTTTCTAGTAATCTGAAGATCTTTCTTTTAAATGACAGCTTGTTTATTCTTGCAGTGATGGAATGGGGGGATGATATTAAAGCAATTTCAAACGATGAAGCAGTGATGTTGGTGAATCACCAGGCAACAGGGGATGTGTGTACTCTGATGATGTGCCTCCAGGACAAAGGACTGGTAAGCCATCTGAACATGGAAGAAGACCACACAAAGGGGAGGTCAACAAACAATCATTTCAAGTATCTTACTGTGGCTTGGGACATAGACTTTAATATGTATACTTTCCCTGAAAATTTAGAAAATTTTAAAAAGAAAAATGTGCATAATTCTAAGTCACTCCAGGAGCGGAATTTAGAGACTTAAAAAAAAATAACTGTGATAATGTGAATTATATTTCTATAAAGCTATTTTTAAAAAAATAATAACTGAGGGAGCATTTTCTCAATTTGTTGAGAGCTTACTTCTGGGCGTGTCCTCAATTTGGCTCAAATAAACTCTTAATAAAATTGTCTATAGGTTTGGATAAAAATGAATGAATAAATAAATAAATAAATAAATAAATAACTGGAATGAAAGCAAAGTTAATATGGTTTAAATTGGGGGCTGTCTTGAGGTGAAAAGGTGGCTTGCCAGTTTGAGAAATACAGGACACAAAAAGCAGTGTTGCTTAAGTTAGAAGAGTAACATTGGTCAGTGAATTCAAGGATCTTGGGGATCTTTAGCCAAAGGAAAAGAAGGTAAATATTATTTTGGATTTTATTTACGAAGCATATTGAAAGGAAAGGTATTGGGCTCATTTTATTCAGTGTTATTAAGGCTCTGTTTGACCTGTTGATTTATATTACTTACATTGAGAACTAAAATATATCTATAAACTGGGTAGGTTTAAAATAAATTATCTTGTTTTAAAGGAATTATCACCCTAGAAGTTAAAGAGGTTCTATTCATAGAAAACTAAATAAATAGAAAGTATACAAAATTAATGGAGCTAATGTTATTTGCCCTAATAGTAAAGAAACAAATTAATAGATATTTGTTAAGTGCTTCATATTCATGGTCAGTGGCTGTAAGTGTAGAACACCATCCTATAAGACATTTCTTTCCCTCCTCTTAAAGGAGCTACCAGTTCAGTGGTAGATGGAGGGCGGGTATAGCAAACAATACTGAGTTGCAAAATGGGAAGTTCGTATTATCGATGGCAGATGAGCTCACCATGTACTTGATGGCTATAGAAAACCCGGTGGAGGCAGGAGGACATAAACGTGGCCTTGCAGGAGAAGTAGAATTTAGGCAAGGCAGAGTGGTGAAATAGGGGCCTTCTTCCTTAATGAAACAATCTGGGCCAGAACACCGAGGCAGGAATAAGCCTGGTGTGGTTGGTCCTAGAGATTGTGTGGGTCAGGGGTCAGAAAATGAGGTGAGCGTTGAGGAAGATAGGTTTGATTATTTTGGAATCTGTTTTTCATGATTATCTAAAAGCAGAGGCATAATCATGCTGGAATGTGGACTAAATTAAATCCTTTCTTACATTCAGAGTCTTGAATTGTTAAAAGACTTTCACTGTGTAGATATATTTGTACTTACAGTAATATTTATTGCCTGTCCCCTAAATTCATGATGTTAAAATTTGGTAAAAATTAGTTTATTTGTCTTTGTATAAAGAGAATCCCCAATTAGCAAACATTTTTATTCTTACTGATATGATAATTACATTTATAGTGATTATTCTGAGGGCCTACAGTGTCCTTAATTGGTTTTTGAATCTCAAAGAATGATTAAAATGGTCAGTGTAAATATGCCTGACATTATCACTCTAACTCCAATTTGGCATAGATGATAATGGTATTAACCAGAGTCTTAGTTAATCTAAAATTTGCTAATCATGTGGACAAAAGAAAGTTTGGTTTGTTAGCTTTTGTAAAAAAAAATATTTATTTTTCTATCCAGAATAATTTTGTTTTTATTTTCAGATTAGTTATATTAAACATTTTTTATGATCTGATATTGCTGAACAGTTTGAAATCTTGAAGAAACTTTTATCTTTTTTCATAAAGCAGTAATTGAGAAATATAAAGCTGGAAGTATTATAATTTTTACCTCTTGCCTAATAAGTTAAGGCAGTATTAATTTACAAGTATGAACGTTTACTTGATTTATTGTATACTCCATGGTACATACTACATTCCAAGAAAGTACTCTCAAAACTTAGAGTTGGTTAGACTATAGTCAGGTTTCTTTTATCCAACATTTAATTATTTCTTGTTTTTAAATATTTTAGGTTGTTGCTCAAATGATGTGGTTGATGGATCATATTTTTAAGTACACAAACTTTGGAATTGTTTCTCTAATTCACGGAGACTTCTTTATAAGACAGGTAAGTAATGAGCATATTTCTTCACAGTGATAGCCTGATCAAACTAATTTTTTATTGTAAAAAGAGGTGTAACAAAACCAATTATAATAGGTAGAGCCAGTTCTGGTATCTCAGAGAGCTCTTCTTCTGAATCTTTGTTTCTTAAATCATTTATTTCAATCTGAATTCAAATATGCATAAGCATTAAAATGTTGACAATGTAAATACTCTAATCTCTACCCTCCTCCTTTTACCTAAACAGTACCATGTTTGGTAAACATTTATCAAGCACCTGCCACATTCTCAGCTCTTCTACTTCTTAGCTGTGTGACTTGGACAAGTTACTTAAACTCTCAAAGTTTCCTCCTTTTTCAAATGAGAATAACAGGTGTTCCCTGCATATGGTTGTTATGGGGGTTAAATGAAGTAACTCATGTGAAGCACTCAGAACAGTGCCTGCTGCCTTCATCATCATTTTTATCATTACCACTACTGTCATCTATATTATCACCATTATTTTTATTTACAAGTCACTGTTATACTTGGCATCTAAATAAGCAGTAGGGAGATCATTAAAAAAATAAGATTACCAGTAGAGAGATTACCAAATAAATAGAGGAAATATTTTGAGAATTCATAGTAGGAAAAGTGAGGACATCAGATTTCTGTGAATCCAGAAAAACTTTAGAAGAAAAGATGATAGTTGGTATACATCTAAAGAATGAGTATGGGTTTGCTAGAAGAAGGTGGATTGGGAATGGGCCTCAAGCATTAGGAATTATTTTGTGTAGGAAAAGGAATCATACCCTCTTATTAAGTCAACACTACATTACAGTGTTTCCCTGAAACGCTACTAGTATCACACACTTTATTTTCTCAAAAATGGATAACTGAAATATGATATGCTAGCATTTTTATGTATGTGATATTAGTACTTAATGACTAACTGGTGAATCTAATTAAGCCTCTCCTAAGAACCAGATTCAGAAATAAGCTGGAAATGTGTACAGAAATTCTAAGATCGATGGAAGTAGGTATCACAAAACACACTTTACTCCAGACAGTTTCACATACAGAACATATTTTTGGTTTTGCATGCTGTGCAATTATCTAGTTTCTTCTGGAAACACCCCTGGTTCGTCTGAGTAGAGAGATGAATAGCCACACACACTGGAACCTCAGCAAGAAGTGGCAATGGGGATTGACCACAAGGCTGAGACAAAATAAACAGTGATCAGAACAACAACGAAACTAGCCTATAACAGCATCCCAGAGTGTCACTGGAGGGGAAGACAGCAGAACCAACAACTGAAGCTTTGCAGTCTAGGGTAATCACGATGAAAAACTAGCTGAGCCCTTTGCATTATGGGAGTCTAAGGAAATTATTGAATTTATTGTGTAGTATAACAATTGACCCTAATATGACTCCCAGTTATCAAGAAGAAGCTAAATTAGGCATGTACTTTGAGGGGATAAAAATAGAAAATAATGTACTCTAGAATATTTTCCTTCTTATTACAGTGTAAAGTTTTGCATACTTAGGGACATTATTTCAAAATATTAGAGAGATTTGCAAATTCATTTCTAAAGAACAATATTTTCCCCCTAATAGATAGTAATAAAAATCTACAACATGGAGGGAGGGGAGAGAAAAAAGTATTAATGGTAAAGAAAATCTCTTGGGACTTCTGCCAGACAATTTTGACAAGGTATTTCCAAGAATATTAAAAATATTTTACACGTAGTCTTGGGAACATAAATACATAACACTTAATCATAATTCAGTAAGATAGCTAAGAAAATACTTGTTTTGCATGTGGAATAATTTAAAGACTGAAAGCATATAAATTATTTTGGGGAGCTTCTGTGATTTGTTGGCTGGAAAATTATTAGCAAACTGATTATACTGGAAGAAAGAACCTTTGTGATATTTAGTTGTGGTTTTGGGGCCTTCCTGTAGGTTTTTCTGGATTCCTCCTTTCAGCCTCCCAGTCATCTTCTTTCCTGTCTCTCTCTGACAACTAAGATCCAGTGCATCAGTGTCCTGTTAGCTTCACTTTCAGATTTTCTCCTGAATATATCCACTTCTCATCAATACACCATAATTGAATCTCATCAAGCTCCTTTGTCTGGACAACTGCCATAGTCTCCTAATTTATCTCCTGTAGTCTGATGTCGCTGGAGCCAGCAGATTCTTTTTTTTTTTAATGTAGATAAGATCATGACACTCCCTGATTCAGAACTATCCAATGACTTCCTACCCCAAACGCTTACCAAGTGCTAGGCCCTGTCTTATCTTTTGTCTGCCTCTGTCTGCAATTTCCATTCCTGCTGTGTCTTCCTCATTCATCGCACTTCAGCCATACTGGCCTTGGTACAGTTCTTTGAACAGCCCACGCTTGTTCCCAGCTCACCTGGAATACTCTGCCTCTCATCTTCACATGGCTTGTTCCCTCACATTATCAGCTCCTTGCTCAACGTTCACTTCCTTGGAACTGCGGTCCCTGACCCTCTTGACCCTCTCTGTCCTCCTCCTCTTTTTTTCCTAGCGCTTGTCACCAATTGAATTTACATTTCTTATTTACTGTCTTCCCTGCTCCAGTAAGCTCTGTGAGGGTCCCTTCTCTATCTCCAGTGTATAGGACAGGGCCTGGCAAGTAGAAGGCACTCAGTGAACAGTCACTGAATTGATGAATGAATAAACTTTCAGGGGCAATTAGAGCAATTTTTTCCTTTAGTAAGAAGGGTTTATTTATATAAGTGCTGATACCTTTTTACCAGTATGGTCAAGATGGACAGTAAGAGGGGGGAAATCGTTATTCTCGTCTATGACTGAGTTTTACTTTAGAAGTCGTTATATTTATTTAATTTTATGGCATTTTAATTTTAAATGTACCTATATTTATGTGTCTGTCTACCTTCTAGGGAAAATCTCATCGTGACCAACAGCTGCTGCTTCTCAAGAGGCACCTAGAAAATAATTACAGGAGCAGAGATCGAAAATGGATTGTTTTGTTTCCAGAAGGGGGCTTCCTCAGGAAGAGGCGAGAAACAAGCCAGGCATTTGCCAAGAAAAATAACTTGCCGTTTCTTACACATGTCACTCTGCCAAGGATTGGGGCAACAAAAATTATTTTGAATGCACTTGTAGCACGACAGGAAAATGGAAGTCCAGCAGGAGGAGATGCTAAAAAATTAGGTATGATGGTTTTTAGCATGTTTGCCTTTGTTGGAATTAAAGGATTTTCTGGAGTCTCAGAAGATAACATTGTTGTTCTTTTCTATACTGAGGGAGGTGAAAATATAATTTTTGAATGTTCTTATTTATAAAAGTAGTCCATGCTTACAATAATTTTAAAAAATAATACAGAAATGTGGGCCGGCCGAGTGGCTCAGTTGGTTAAGAGCTTGCTCAAGAGTGTGAACTCTGAACAACAGGGCCGCCAATTCGATGCCCACATGGGCCAGTGAGCTGTGCCCAAGCTGAGCTGCCGCTGAGCTGCCAACAGGTGTCAGGATGGCTCAGCTGGTGAGAGCACATGTTCCTAACAACAAGGTTGCCTGTTCAAGATTGGTGGGGGATGGTGGGCTATGCTCACCCACAACTAACATTGAACACAGCACCTTGAGCTGAGCTGCTGCCCGGGTGGCTCAGGGGATAGAGTGCACGCTCTTAACAATGAGGCTGCTGGTTCGACTCCCACATGGGATGGTGGCAGCGCCCACCCGCAACTAATTGAACACAGTACCTTGAGCTGAGTGGTGTGACTGGACTTGGAGCTGAGCTTGCTGCGCCCTCCACAACTAAGATTGAAGGACAACAACTTGGCTGTTCCCCTTTTCCAATTTCCCAACACTGTTTCCCTCCCCCAGTTCCCCAATAAAATCTTTAAAATAATAATAATAATACAGAAATGCATAAAGATAAAGGTGTCTTTTCCCTATCTTACCTGTCCTGACTCCTGGCCAGCCCCACTGCTGCAGTAAACATTTCTGTAAATATGTTTGCATATTTGTGCAAGTATTTCTGTGAGGTAGATTACTAGAAGTGGAATAGCTAGATTAAAAGATATAGGAAGAAAAGTGACTAATTTGTAAAACTAATCATAGATATGCAAATGAAAATAGTAATGATATATATCTTTTCATTTATCAGATTTAGAAAGGTTTTTTGTAATACAGAGAATGAATGTAATGCAGTTGGGTAGTATTTATTAAGAGCCTTAAAATATTTATAAAAGACTCAGTTATTTTACTGTAATTGATACTTATCAAAAAGAAAGAATCTGAAATACTGGTAAAGAAGTTTATCACAGCATTATTTATAATAGAAAAAAAAATTGGAAATAACCAGAAGGCAGACTGGATAAGTAATTATCAAGTATCCATTCAACAGAATACAACTCAGCCATTACAAATGATGTTTATAGAGCGTTTTTACTGGCTTGGAAAAATGCTTATGCTCTATAATATTAATCGAGTGGGAGGGACATATAACTCGGGTGAAAACAATTTGAGCTGAAATATATAAACAATAAGGCAGTAGGAAATGAGTGAAAAGAAAGATACCAAAATGTGAGCTGGGACTGCTTCTCTGAGTAGTAATATTATGGATGATTTTTTTCTCATATGCTTTTCTGGAATTTTTTTTTTTAAGATTTTATTGGGGAATTGGGGGATGGGAACAGCGTTGGGGAA